GTTTTTTTGCGATTCGCAACGGAAAACAAGATAGTACTGGAAGCCTGGGTACTTCGACGCGAGAGAAACATTTCCAATGTACATAAGGTGTCTGCATGCTCAGCCCACTTGGAGGATGAAGCCTACTACCTATCACATTTGTCAGGTTACACTCGGTTCTTGCTGGCAGACCTTGGCTGCAACACGATGCACTGCTTCAAGAAAATTGCCAATTACTGGTTACTTCACGAAAGGTCACCTCATGTGGTTTCATTAACCAGGGTCCAGTGTTTGTAAGGCAACCAAATGGATGAAGAAACCAGGAACTGGTATTATAAAGACAACTTACTTCACACGCGCCCGGGTGGCCGGGCTCGATACCCTTGGCTCGGGTGGGAGGGGGTGGGGGGGGGGGAATTTTAGCCCCTCCCTGAGATCTCAGGAACAAAGAAAGCTAGAGACACCAAATTTACAGGGTGTGTTGACCTGTGCGTTAACTCATTTAGCTATGAGTGTCAGATTCCTAGGCCATGAACTTCGGGTCAAAAAAGGTCAAAAAAGGTTAAGTTCCAGATTGGTATTCAAGGTGCCCCCGGAACCTAGATAACCATTTCTAAGCAAAAGGTCAGCCGCTCATTCAAGGTCAGTGACCTGATTTGACCATTTGAAGGTCAAGGTGACCAAAATCATGCAATATTGCTCTGAGTTTTGCATTTGACTAAGCGACAAAGATTGCGCTAGGCAGTATGTTCCTGAAACAAAATGTTGACCCGGGTCATTTTAGGTCAGTTACCTGTTCTGACCTCTAAGAAGTGTTTTGGGTCCTAGTAGTTTGGGTCAAAGTGTTTTGGGTCTTAAAAATGGCATATCCGTGAACTGCATGAAAATGTCCTCTAGATGCCTATTTCAGTTCAAAACTCCAAACAAATATAAAAAATCCCTTCAAGCAGCAGACTGCTAGTCCCATTATCGGGCCATGCGTTGAGGTATCAGCCTTTGTACTGAATTGCCAGGCAGTGTTTAATCAGGCATTGTGCACTACACAGTATGTAGCCACACCAGCCCGTGTTCAACGGGTCGTGCATCACGGTACCAGACCGAGCGTCACATTGCTAGTCTGAGTGTCTCGTTAGAAGTTCATGTGTGAAAACACCAGTCCGCGTATCACATTACCAGACCGTGAGTCAACGTACCAGCCCGGACATCACATTACCGGGACGTGTGTTGCAGCCGAGCCTGGCTCGTTCGTACGGGCCCTGCGGCCGGCGCTGCTGGGAGCGACGCTGTCTGGCTCTCTGCCGCTCTCCGCCGTCGACGGCACCTTCCGACTGCGCTCGCTGCCGGCAGCACGCTGCCTGCTGCTGACGCTGCTGGCGACGGCGCTGCTGGCGACTCGCTGCGCTCTCGAAACAAACCTCCTGTCATGGCCGATCATCTAGGCACTGGACGCGTATGTCATGGCGATGGTGTTGCAGACATACCTGAGGTGGGCAGGGGTGCTACTCTGGGTCTGCCTGAACGCGCGCCGCCTGCACCGTCTCCTGCAGGCCTGTCGCGAGTACGAGCAGACATTCGGACCCGTCGACCTCCGGCGGGCCAGCCGCTACGTCCGCCGCTTCGCACTCTTCGTGGTGCTGTCACTGGCCTTTTACGTGGTCATAAAAACGAGGTCTGCGATATTGAATCCATCTCACATGCCTGGCTGGCTTCCAGCATTCTCCGTTTTCATTAACTTGATCTTCGTCGGCACATTTGCTTCCTGGTTTGTGATTTTCATTGGCATGTGTCGGTGTCTGTCGAACGCCTTCCGCCACATTAGCTCACATATTCCTCAGAAGGATGCGTCACAGCCGGTCCCCTCCTCCATGCTGCTGGCCCTCTGACTGGGACATCCAGCAGCGGATCGGCGCAGGGGGCCTCACTGATGCAACCAGACTCTTTACTAGCACAGGAAGACCAATAATCGGTACGGAGACACTAACTCGCCTTATCGGCCGCTGATTAACTCAACCAGTGGCTGGTTAATTCAGCCAGCGGCTGGTTAATTCAGGTATGTACGGTCCTGGGGGCTATCACCAGAAAAAGCCGCTGGGAACCCCAGGATGGGACGGAATGCCCTTGAGTTGCTGATGAGAACATTTTACCAATGCAGTTCTGTTGGTTGACCAGTTGATTCTCTGAACGGGATTAACAGTTACAGCATTACGAGCAAGGCAGATTACGCCATTGCGCCTTGCATTCGCGATGCTCTGTGTGGTAATCCGTGCTGGCCTCCAATCTACAACTTGCACTGGTGAATATCCGGCCCGGGACACCTTTTACACGCATAGAAATTGATTTTATAAAGCATTGGAAAGTACCTATTTCCGATGCGATGTCATTTCCACCCCTCTGTACAGTTCCTAACAGGACACCATGTGTCGGCAATGAGCCCCAGGTCGGCCAGGAGCACATTTGCTGAACAGGGACGATGATGGGACGCCGTTTGTCAGAGTCTTTTGTGTTGGTCTGGCCCCTCCTGACAATGGAAGGATTCATTACAAGTGAGAAAAGAAAGGACTCACGTGTACGAAAAGGCAGTGGAGAGGTCTTTGCCAGTCAGGGACACCACCAGGAGTGTCCCTTGTCCGGTACTGGTGTCCCTGACTGGCACATACCTCTCCACTGCCTTTTTGTACATGTGAGCCCTTTCTTTTCCCACTTGTAATGAATCCTTCCATGGTCAGGAGGGGCCAGACCAACACAACAGACTCTGTGACGAACGACGTCCCATCATCGTCCCTATTCAGCAAATGTGCTCCTGGCCGACCTGGGGCTCATTGCCGACACATGGTATCCTAGTAGGGACTGTGGCCACTGACCAGCACTTTAGGTACCTCATTGTTTCAGGTGTCACGACGAATGCAGGATGCCCTCTGATTGACATTTAGAGACCCTGGCCTTGTCCCTGCTTGGCAAATGACCTCCAGGCCCCAGAATGGCACGGAACGGACTGTTGGATATTGCTGTTGTCAGTCAGCTGCCTCAAATAAAAACACAGTCGCACAGGGCCTCCAAGTTGTGTTCGATTCGAGCTTCCCTAATACTTTAGGGTCCGGCCTTCGGGCTGTGATCCCTCCATACGACCTCGGGCCTGCCCTTCGGACCATCAAATCGGGCCCTTGATCTTCGGCCCAAAGGGACGAAAAAAGACCCCCGGGACCCATGGGACCTGGAAGTCTAAGAGGTAGGCTGGGCGTAGCTCGTTATTCTTTTTTCTAAGTTTTCATGCGGCTCAATACGTAAGCCTTATTTACGCTGCTTCGGCATGGGGCTGAGTATATACCGTGTTGTGCTTATGACCGCACGGTCCGATTCTATATTCCGAAAAGTGTTGTTTGTACATACTACATAGTTGGCACCTCATTCGCAAGAGACATGCGTGTGCTTGGCTATGCTGTCCTTAAATTCTTCCTGCCCAGGTTCTAAACGCATGTTTCCTTGAAGTCAACAGGTATCCACCAGCGGTTCAAGCACGTACGCAAGCAGGTAGTACGCTGGTTTGAAACATACGGTCCGCTGATAGACGCCTATTGCGCACTCTATCACGCCTTCTATTTCAAGAGCATTTGCGATAAGCACCGCCTTAAGTGTTCTCTGCTGCCCTTGCCCTGAGCATACGGCGCACCTACCTCCATCACCAAATACTTAATAAAATGGTGAAATGAACTGGGTATATTAAAAACTTCTGTTATCCTGCATCGTAGTTACATTTTCCTTGGCCTCATGCGAAGTCAGGTTCACTGTAGTCTGGCTTACTCGGTTACGGCCATCGGTTGCCTTGGCCAATGAACTGGTCGTTCGCGCCATTTTCATTCGCGCTAACCTGTCTGTGTTCAAGCGCATGAAGTTTGGCGCGTGGATAAAAATGTTTTGATGACATGCATAGTTGTTTGGGGCGGCACATTTCTCGCTTTGAGTTTCTCAAGCACCGTAGTCGTCCAGCGCCGCACCCCAGACGGATCACGACTTGTTGCGAGGGAGTTTGTTTTCGGAGGCGGGCTCAGTGTGAGATGAAACAAGGGGCAAGTAGATATGGAAGGAAGCAGCCATTCGTGCCTCACATGGCTACAATTATCGCCAAAATAGGGATAATTTTTCACGAACATCATTGCCTGTATTTCACGCGCCAATAACATAATGTGTAAGACAGCGATCGAAGTTACTTACATATACGTACGACAAAACATATGCAGAAAGGATATCACCATCAACAACATATCTTTCTGAGCATTGCATGATATGAATTCACACCTTTGCACTCTAGTTCTGGGTTATACATGTAGCCCGTTATGCATATATATATATATATATATATATATATATATATATATATATATATATATATATATATATGCATATATCCAGCCCGGCAATATATGACGGAGATAAGAAAAATGTGAGGAGTAAAACAAATGCACAGAACGCTGCTATCCGAACCAAGACATGCATCAGAGAAACCTGCCTGCGCCTGAAATGGTGGAAAATTAAATTAAATGGCAGACCCTGCCGCCACCCTGCTGCCCACTAACCACGTATCCGCTAAATACCGACAATAACATGATAACTTTTCATGACGCTTTTTTCCATGCATTTTTTGCAGTGTTGCTATATGCGATCGGCTGCAAGTCGTCCAGCGCCTGCCCTATTGCGTCTCCCGTTTCAAGATCATTTGTAGCATGCCCCCATAGGCGAATCCTGGGATGGGGGCACGGGGCCATGGTCGCTCAAAAAGCTCTGAGTGTATGTTTTGGCCCAAAAAAATTCCCAGAACTTCGTAAAAGTTTCGTCTACGTACCGTCTGTTTTAACTTTGATTATGCAGCATCAAACATTTATTTCCGTTTCGGAAAAAACTTCATGAAGAAAATTTGGCAGCGACTCGAATGTCAAAACAGAACGCATGTTGACGCGACTTAGTCATACTCCGCGCAAACATCGTGTTTGGTTAGCACGTGGGTGATTGAACTGCTGAGCGTTAGCGTTGTACGAGGACCGTTCAAGAACCAGAAAACGTTTTTAATCATCTCAGCCCTTGTTAACCCTCCCACTAAAGAACATGACCAGCCTTCTTCTTGATCTGTGTACCTATCTCAGTTTGTGCATTTGTATTGTAGTGTGTGGCCTGTTGGTAGGTGGATAGGTGCCCATTTTTCAGTGGGAAAGTAATTATAAATAAATGGAGTTAAAGTTTATGAATGTCTGGGTCCTTGACATGGAGTATGTGTGTTGTGGTCATGGGATGATCCATCATCCTAATCCAGACATCTGGGGGTATGTTAATGGAATGGAGCAAAACCTAAAAAAACACCCACAGTTGGTGCAACACAACTTTGTACAATGATTTCCTGAAGCCTGATGATACTGAAAGAAATATAAACAGATTAGCTAATGAATGAAGAGGTCAATATCATTGGTATAGGCAATGCACATTTGTATTTCATTTTATGGTAGGTTGTTTTTGGGGTCTTTGGGGTAATGCCCCCCCCCCCCCCCCCAATACACCAGGATATTGGTGTGCTTCCAGTCATGGGTGGGGGATGGTTTCGAAAGTTTGTGTGGCCAAAGCGTATTGATTTAGATACCTACCTACTTTTAAGTAGGTACCTGTTGGTGAGGCCAGCAGTGGCAATAACACAAAATGTTGTAGTACCAACCACACCTGTCATACCACATTGTCCACCCATGCACCAAATAGCCTGTTCTGGATGTTCCTGTGGTTGCAGTGAGCAATAAATGGCTAATGCTACTTGACCAATTTCATCTGCCTAAGTGTAATAGGCACAGCCAGACATAATGTGAAAGTGTATGAGGTTGTGTGTGTATGCAACCTTGATTTCAAATTGAGGCAAAGCTTATCACTCTTTGATAAATCTGATTGCATATTGTGGTGTATTGCCTTGCCAAATTATCTGCCATCTTTTGTTTTATTTTTGAAAGAAAAATGATAGTTTTAGCCAGAATGGATGAAATGTTTAAATCTCCTATGACAAATGATCCCCTTTTCCATGCCTATGGTTGCTGCTTATTGTGATATGAAGTCAGAATAAGGATAGTGGCTACAATTTTTCCTATATTCCACTTTAACCATACTTTAATGTGCATGCATCATTAACCCAATTTCTAGTGGCCTCAATCTGATGAAATATCTATTTTCTATATTTTAAGCATCTCTTCTAACCCTTGACCTCTTTTTTATTTTAGGGACATCACTATCTTGAATCCTGATTCATGAATTCTGGCTACTGAATCTTCCTGAATCTACACTGTAATGTCAATAACTGACATCAGGTAATTCTTTAAGGGGAAGGTGGATAGGCAGCAATGGTGCATTGTGTGTAGTTAGTGCCTGTCAACATTGTTGGTAGCACATATGCAATAAATTATTCTGGAATCATCACTTACATGATTTATATATATACATCTGGGTGCTGGCAAATGTTGAAGCTTAGGCCAGATAAAGCATGACCAAATGGACACCTTACATTATTGAGCCTTCCTGAGTCATTGATGTAGCTGTCTTGATGCATACACTTTTTACCCTGTTAAGGTGTTTAAGTGCAATAGTTTTTGTCTTATGTGTGATGATTTAACAGAAAATGAAAAAGGGAATGTGGATAATTCAATTTTAAATGCAGCGTACTATCTTGAGCCAAATTGAGAAAAGTTTTGCTGATCATCAGCCACTCTACCAATGACTCTAATTGTCCATGTATTTATTAAAAAGGTTCTCAGTATCCACATCAAAACAATCTCTAGAAATGTTAACTCCACCACAGCTCTTTTTTTTGTAAACATTAATTTCCTTTGTAAGAGCAGTAACTAGTTCTGGCAGCAGAAGTTCTGTTGCAAGGCCTTTATCTCAAATCATCATTCATTTTCATTAAGGTCTTAGCATAAACACCAGAGTGTAATTCGGTGAAAGCTAATCCTTTTTCCAATATTCCTACTTATCCTTATGTTTGACTGCCCTTTCCCAGCATGATCCAGACATCACACGCATACCACCTACAAGGAGATTGAAGGAGCTGTACCCCGCAGGTTAGCGGAGTAGGTGCACTGTTTTCCAAAATGATAATGATAATAATAATTGCGCCCACACTTCACAGACATCTCATGAGTCAGAACTGATAGGTTTGGTTGAAAGCTAACATATAAACAGGAGGTATTTGACACTGCTTTGAGTATGACTTATGCTGTGTGATTTAACTGCCAAGAATTCAATTTACCACAGTCCTTTGATTTCATTATTTCTTCTTCTGAGGATTATGAGGTGTACTTTCATCGGACATGTCATTAACTTTGCATGAACACGCTTGACAATAATAAGTTGTTGATTATTTTCAACTTGTACCTTCCTTTCTTTTGCACTGGCCAGTCACGACTACTCATACCCTCATCCAAATGTAAAAGAAACATGGCATCTCCATCGCCTTATTTCCTCATTTGCAGCATGTCCTCCATCCACCAAGCCTTCGACGTCCTCCAGCTCATCCACCCCACCCGCTGCACCTGTTCCATTACCAGGCCAGGTAGTGCAAGATAAACCTGCAGCGTCAACAGCCACGTCGACAGTGGCACAGACGAGCGAGGTATGCGCTCCATCTGCGCTTTCAAGCCCATCTAGCACGCCGTCGCCCGCACCAAACGGAGGTGAAATGGCACAAGCCAAGACTGCGGTGCCAGCAGCAGAGTTGGTAGAGACCATTCCCACTCCCACGCCTGCGATGGTCCGCCCAGTGGATTTCGGAGACGTTGTCGCTAAAAAAAAACGAGCGGGAGAAAAGCTCGGTAGCGCAGCGATCAAGGCTGCCCTAAAACAGCGATGGAAACCTTTAACAAGGAGCGACTTCCCAACTTCTGAACACCGGCGTGGGGGGCAGCTGCGCGCCCGACGAGCCAACGACACGCACTTCGACACGTTTTCATAGCTGGCTATCTCGCGGCATCCGGAACATTGGGGGGGGGGGAAGGGGGGGGGGGTGGCATGGTGCGCGTCCTGCGTGCTGTTTGCAACGGCGTCGGAGGCAGGCGGCAGGTCTGGTACCGAGAACCAGCCCGTGGGCAGGTTGGTAGCTCTTCCACTGCGGGACTTCTCCGACATAACTGGGATGACAGACGCTCTCAGCGTGTACAACCGAAATGGGCACTACGAAAAGTCATTCGCCGCCGCCGCAGATTTCCTGCGAACCGTTGCGAACGACGAACCCGTCTCGACCATGCTGACTTCCGCTAACAGTCGTCAGATACAACGCACCCGAGCGGCCCTGGGCAGCATTGTGGACACAGTGAAGTTTGCTGTCATGCAAAACACCCACTGAGAGGTCATCGAGACGACGGGCGTATCGATCCGTCTGGAGTGTACCCCGCATCTAACGACGGGAATTTTCGGATGTTGCTGCGGTTCAGACTGCAGAGTGGCGACACGGAGCTGCAAAAGCATCTGAAGTGGACCGGCAGTGCTACACTTTACACTAGCAAAACGGTTCAAAACGAGCTTCGAGAGGATCTGCTTCGGCTGCTACGGGACGCGGTGTCAGCAAAAGTCGCTGCCTCGCCGCTGTGAGCTATAATCGCCGATGAGACTTCAGACAGGGCTTACCTGCGGTGAGGTACTTGGACCAAAAGGATGGGAAAAACGTGCTGCGCGAGGACCCGGTCAGCCTCGCAGATGTCTTCCCGAAGCTGAACGCCGCAGAAACGGAGGGCGAGGTCAAGCTGTCCGGTCAAAACCCGGCAAAAGTTGTACTCGAAGCTGTGGACCGCCTCCACCTGGACAAGAAGTGCCTCATCACGCAGTGTTACGACGGTGCTACCGCCATGTCCAGCATGAAGGCCGGCGTGGCGACCCATGTCCAGCGAGAGGCACCCCCGGCCCACTACCACCACTGCGCGATGCACGGCCTTAACCTCGCCGCATCCAAGATGTGCTCGGTTCGTGCGGTGAGAAAAGCACAGGGAACGATGGAGACAGTCATAGTTTTCGTGACCGACGGCGCCAAGCGCTCCGTGGTGCTGCAGCAGGCACAGAAGACAACAGGTCGGAGCCAACAGCGCCTCATCAAGCTATGCGAGACTCGCTTTGTTGAGCGTTACACGTCCGTTCATCGCTTCTGTGAACGGTTCGCAGCCATCGCGGACGCCCTGCGTCTCATGACCGACTGGACCGGCGCAATCACCAGATCAGAGGCAAACATGCTCCTGAAGACCATGGCGGCTTTGGACTTCCGGGTGGCCATCGTGACCATGAAGACGCTGGGCAGTCTGCTGCGACCAGTATCCCTCAAGCTACAGCGAGCGGGTGCAGATCTGATCCAGACGCTCGGCTTGGCGAGGACCACCATCAGTACACTCACGGACCTGCCCACTGAGTCTTCGTTCGATGAGCTGATGGCCGAAGCGCAGATAATGGCAGAAGAGCTGGACACAAGCATCGAGAGGCCGCGTATCCCTGCGCACCGCTCTACCTTCAGAGCGAACGCGGGTGACGACCTGGGCGTCACCTGCTACTTCCGCGTGAACGTGTACTTCCCAGCCATTGACGCAGTGCAGCAGGACATGGAGGAGAGGTTCGGCAGCGACCACATAGGCACTGGTGATGCTGGACAGCGAGCCGAGGCTCCACGACAGACGCACCACCGCCAGGTGTTCTCGCTGTCCGGCATTCTGCCAACGAGGGTGACCGGCGTGACATGGAGGACATCCGTCCAGGCTGGGAAATCTACCCACCGGCCCTTCGTCAGACCTTCGAGTGTGACACGAAGGCCGAGCTTCAGGTCTGGTCGGCCATGTGGCGACGCAGCCCGGACAAAGTGGTACCTGACTCCGCGGTAGCAGCGCTGGACCACTGCGACCCTGTAACCTTCCCGACCATCCACCGCCTGCTCCGGGTTAGCATTTTCAGCTTCCACCCAACGCCACCAAAGCCAGTAGTCTATTCACATACACGCACTGCTCTAGTCCATCGCACTCCGCCGCCTGGCACTGAACTCAATACTACTTTCCTCAATATGCATAGATTAAATTGCTTAGCTGAGATATACTCTGATCTTCTTGCTCTTTATCTTTTTATGCGTTACGACACTGTATAGGTCCGTTGTATGCGAAGTTTTTCAATAGTATTGTGTTGTATCGTTTTTAAAATGTCACATTTTCCTGATTTTTCTAATTGATGCCATACCAGTTAGGAAAGATCGCAATAGAGGTCGAATGCCCGTATCAAAATAATAAAGAACAGTGCAGAAGAAGGTAGTTAAAATCTGAACACTCGAATGGGCAACGCGTTGGTTATGGATTCGATGGTACTGGTGTCTTCAGACATGATTATGCCGTGATTATAGGATAATCTATTCGTTTCTTTATTGGGTATTAAGGGTGCGTCGATGACTAGGTCATGTTACGTCTACTATATTAATATGTGTATACCTGAAATATTAGCAGATGCCAAATACCTAACACTTTCATTAAATTTGCAGAATTATTTGGTCTGTTTCAGTTACCCAATTGATGCCAATACTATGTCATTTATTATCAGATTGTAATATATTATTGCCGTTTATTTCATAATTAGCACGATCATTTTCCCGAGGGAATTTTTTCATGAGAAAGAATAATCCTACTGGATCACCAATCACCATCACATTTCTCTAATATCTCTCATTAGATCCTAGCGGTTCTGCCGGTGTCCGCTGCGGAGGCCGAGCGGCCCTTCAGTGAGGTCGCCTGGACGCTGACCGAGGTCCGCGCGACGATGGGTGAGGAGCGCCTGGAGGCGTTGGTGATGTGCCAGACGCACCGTGACCTTCTCCCAGCCTCGAAGGAAGTTGCGGACTTCTTCGCCAAGTCTGGCGCTCGTTGAGCGAAGCTTTCGCATCTGCTGTAGGCCCCGGCGTGAGTTATATTTAATAAGCATTTAATTAATCTTATCATTATTCCAGAATATCCAAAATTCCCAATGTTGCGGACAAATCTGCCCTGATTCCTATATTTTCCGTAGTTTTGTGAAATGTCGGTGATGCCTGTCTCTCCTCTTAATTTGTTTATTTCACCCTAGCGCTAGACCTGTCACGACCCTCTATATTGATGGCCTGTTTTATCATTCTTGCCGCCCGTCCCTTCCCACCAGCCGAACCCCACATGTGACTGCCATGCGGGGTGGCCGGGGCCGGCTACGGAACGATAGACAGTTGATTCTCAGAGTGACGCCGGGAGAGGACGTGCGTGTTGTCTCCCTGGCCCGATTTGACCACGAAACTGCAGCGTCAACCGACTGATGCGTCTGGATTGAAAGTGAATTGATATGAGCGATCAGAACGGAACACTCATCATGCACTGAAGATGCTATATTGTCGATTATGAGTAAAATTTTGCCTCGATTTGTCTCTTCTGCCTTTTATACTCATACACAATGTTTAGTTAACATATGCTGTGTTAAAGGTGCCAAACAGAAAATATTACCCATCACAATTGTGCGCGAAATTGATGCGGTGAATACTTAAAGGTTCTCGTTATAGCTTTATGGCGTTTATCAGTACTTCCACTAAGGGCTTTTTTCCTCACTTTGTGTCCTCACGCCGTTGGCCCTTGCAAAACAGTCCTGCGTATATTACCAAACTTCATACATTGGTCTTATCTCCGACAGCAGCAGTGGTCGCTTGCGCTTACGCTGTCTTCCGCCACCAATATCATTTAAATGTTACGTCAACCCTTAATTCTCCTCAAATTAACATTGCGTCCTGACTCCTGACTGACTCATCATTCATCTCGTTCCACAGCGCGGCTCACCGGTGTGCCCGCCCGCCACAGCCGCTCCGCAGCTGCCACTACGCTACATAGCCACTAGAATCATCCTTTGTCCGGCCTCATCACCCCGTCTCACCGTTTGTCACCCTGATCGCCATTTGCAATAAACCCCATTTGCCCAGTTGACTCTTGAAAGTAATATCTTATGTTACGAACTTTGTAAACATGCATACTGTATATAGAAGATTCAAAAGCACTTCGGCGCCTGAATAATGTCCCTACTAGGTACTCGCAAGAGGCACCATGCACTGGACCTCGGGTCCCACACCAGCCACCTGGCGACGAACGGTTACCCCCCCCCCCAAAAAAAAAAATCCAGACTAGATCCCCCCCTGCATGTCCCACACACTGGGCTTGCCGTAAGTCCACTGTGTGTTCCGACATTCATTACCAAAGACCTAGTAAAACGATGAAAGGAGCTGAACACATTTAACCCACGTTCGGGGGAGGGGTTAAATTGTCCCCCGAAGGTTTTTCCAGAATGGTTTCCGAACGGTGCGGGGCAACCGCGCCAAATGTTGCATAACTGTCAACCATTGAATAGCAAATCGTTTGGTTTAAGAAATTTAGATGTACCTTGTGAGGTCGCTGACCTATGGCAGGTCAAAGTCAGGCCATGGTTTCAGCGAAGTCAATTTCCAGAGAATCCCTTAATCTGATGCAACAGCGGAGTGTTAGACGAAGCCATACATCTATTAGATGCTCTCTTAGGCAGCACGAGTATTGAATGAGCAAATAACGTTGACACAGGTCAGGTATGAAGGTCAGACCAAGGTCAAACCCAACCTGTTTTATTACCCTAGGGCTTGATGCAAGGGGTAGTTTCTGGTGCTCATGTCGAATTTATTGATAGCAGGAACCGCATTATACTTCTCTGCGGACTTTTTATAGGTCAAAAAAGAGGTCGTTGGCCTAACATGACGAGGTCAACATTTTGTTTTTAGAGACATACTGCCTAGCGTAATCTTTGTCGCTTATTCACACGCAAAACTCGGAGAAGTCTTGTATGATTTTGGTCACCATGGCCTCCAAAAGGGAAAACAAAGTCGCTGACCGTAAATGAGCATGAGACCTTTTGCTGAGAAACAGTTGGCTAGGTTCTGGGGGGGGGGGGGGGGAGCACTTCGGAGACCAACCTGGCATTTAAACTTGTTTGATCTTATTTGACCAGAAGGCCATGGCCTAGGAACCTCAACTTTTGACCTAAGCGAGTTCACGTAGAGGTCGACACACCTTGGAAATTTGGTGTCACTAGCTTTCTTAGTTCCCGAGATCTCAGCGGAATCAAATTGACCCCTACCTGAGCGAAGTGTACCTAGCCGGCCACCCGGGAGGAGGGGGGTTAAAACTGTTATGATCATATCCAAATTACATGCCCTCACCACTGTCATATTCCTCTCTGTTTTATGCGTTCACTGCAGTCCGTCGTACGCAGTAACAGCGATCGGTTGCCTTGGTTGATCATGTAGTCATTCGCGCCATTTTTATTCGCCCCAATCTGCCTGTCGCCAAGGGCGTGCGAACATCCTGGCGCGTCAATAAAGATGTTCTAGTTGTTCGGAAAAGTTTTGCGGACATTCGAACTTTTTGGCGCCTGTCCACGGCAAGATCACAGCTTGTTGCGAGGGAGTTTGTCTTTGAGGGCGGACTCAGCGTGAGGTCAAGCCAGGAGCAAGCAAATATGGAAGCAAGCAAGCATCGTTTTCCTGTATTGTCCGCCATGGCTTCAGTTATTTCACACAAAAATCGTTGCCGACACCCGACGAAATAATAACATGACGTTCAACCGTCGCCATGATGGGCGGGGATTATGGCATGTGTATTGATACCAAAATGTGCTCCTACATTTTGTGGTTTCGGAATAGCGGCAGTTTGTAATGAACACGCCACGGCGATCTACAGCTGCCTCGGGCGCCAGGCAGCAACATAGTTATACTGCAGAATGTACTCAGAATTGGACAAAACATAAAGTGCGGTGTTCGGGTAAATTCGACCTTTGACCTGCCATCAACATACAAACTAGCACCAATCGTGAGATCGTGTTCGGAACAATATACTGGTGTTCTCGGCTAAGCTCTATCTTTATAACTTTGGAAACGCCAGGGGGAGGGTCGCATCAACCCACTTTCCCCCTATCAGTCTGAGTTATGTAAAACGGCGAATGACGGCGAAGGTTAAGACATACAGCGAGCATAGGTGCTGAAACGCACATGCAAAAGGGATATTGCTATCAATCACATATTTCCTGAGCGTGACATTACATAAATTCACACTTTTTCCCTCCGATTTGTGGGCACCAAAAGTCTCCCGTTATATCCCACAGGTCATAACTCGGCCAGATATTCCGGAGGCTAGACAATCTTCACAAGAATCAGAATATTGCACGATGTGCTGTCATCTTCAAGATAACATGCACCTAAGTAACTTGTCATTAATCACGAAAGTATATAAGATGCAGGTAAGCATTGCGTGTGAGTGTTTTTTAAGATGCAATTATTTTTGAAGGCGTATTCCCATTGCCCCGGCAAGAGGCGGTCCTTCGTGAACGTGGACACGCACTGGAGCTAATGTTCTATAACAAATACAATCGACTTAAGCCACAATGGCCCTTAGTCTTAGGCCGATTCTTGACCGCCGCTTGGCCGAAATCTGATTTATGACTTCGCCGTATGCCCATTGATTAGCCAAATACACTTGAGTATGTATAATCAAATTACGAAGAAAATTGATCTTTTTGCATGTTTTGTTAAAGACCACACCGGACATAGCATTGACGATCGTTTCGGATGTTTTCTGAATAAATCTGATGACAGCTTTCGCTTCTTCTCGCTGGTCGTTGAAGATGGCACCACAGTTCATGATGCAAAGAAGATATAGGTTGTCACATTTCATGACCGGTTATTAGTTATATTTCTCAACGTTTCATCCTTCATTGGTTATTTTCTGGAAAGACGGTTTATGATAAAATCGATATCATGGTACGTTCGTTAACTTGAAATTGTCTTGTGCCTGTTCTTACATGGGTCCTACACCTACAAATATTAGTTTTTGTAATACCGTTTAAGCGCAAAGATATACTACATACGTATCGCAAAACAGACATCGGCACTTACGTATTACAGATGCCCGTCACTGACAGGCAACGGCGATCATACGCATACGTTCTTACAGGCAATGTTCCGGTGCTCTCCGCCCTTGCCAACACAGAGCGCACTGATAGGCGCACTGGCCCAATCCAACAAAGTGCCTTTCATTGTTTCAGGGGCCCCGAGCAGTGAAAGTCACGGGCTGGGTCTTGTCCCTGCTTGGGACTGTTCGGTTTTGGTAGTGCCTGATCGACGTAGAGGCCCTCATCGACTCCGGAGGCCCGCGGGTGGCGCAAAGGACCCTCTGACAGGCATTGAGGGCCCGGGACGCAGGGCCGGGATGCAAAATACGATCTCCGCCGAGCCCTTCGGGCCGTTCGTTGCCACGAATCGGGTCTTTGATGGTCTGTCTCCAGAGACCTAAGACGGAGGAGAGGGGGAGGGGGCGGGGCACGTGTCCCTGTACATCTGTGTGCGCCACTGGAGGTACCTGAGCGGTGAATGCGACCCGTGAGCGACAGGAGTATACGGGAGTATTTTCAGGAGTATTTTTATACAGGAGTTTTTTTCTATATACAGGAGTATTTTCCCGGTTCCCCTATTGCCAATAGTTGGAAGGGTAACATAAATATAAGCAGCTTTAAGGGCCCTTAAATACCAGTGTACCCTTGGCGGTCAGGAAGCCCCGACTAAGCGGCCAGAGGGGGGTCCAGGAGCCTAGCAGGTCGTGCGTCCTGGGCCACTACACGATGCTACGGTGTTGTCTGAACCTCTATTCAGCACTATTAATTTTTTGCTTCTCTCATTCAGTGTGGTCATTTTTCTAAATCAATTTCACTGTTCCAAAACGAGCTCTTCCCAGGGGTTTCTGCACTCCTCGCCATTATCCCTCTCTTCAACAGCCAGACGCAATAAAGTCTTAAGCCAAGACTTGAGACCCCATGATTTTCCCGATTTGGGCTGAAGGGCATTCCCGTCCTCTTTCTGCTTTCCTTCTGGTTACTAGTGATACACATGATACATTGGTCCCTTTTCTAACGCCGAGAGCCGTCTGACCGGGACGGTTCATCCTTGATTGACGCAGGGCCAGGGCCAGGACCGGGGCCAGGGCCAGGGCCAGGTTGACGCAGGGCCAGGGCCACCGACGCAGAAAGGTCCCAAGCGTAGCTGGCTTAATAAATGGCACAGGAATGCCAGTTCGACGCGTTTGGGCCCTAGAGAAAGCTGACAGAGGGACCCTATCCGGTGCTGGCCCCTTGACTGACAAGATGGCACCTGTCCAAAAGGAGGAGGGGTGGGGGGATTTGGTCTAGCACGAGCGGGATGTCCAACATGTCCGGATGTCCGGTACCGCCGGGATGTCCAGCATGTCCGGATGTCCGGTCCGCCGGAATGTGTTCCGCGGGGAACCGAGTGAAACCGAGTCAGGGGTCTCGGGCTCTGATGCAAAGATGGCGCCCAACTCTGCTCTGATGCACGCCCGACTGAGCTGGTAGCGTTTGGACTGTGGACAGGCCGCCCCACCGACCGGCCTCGTGCGTGAGTGGCGGGGTTCCGTTCTCGGACGAGGGACGGCGCGCGCGTGAATGCGTTCTTTATTTGGCGGCCGGCGTGTCTCGTCCGCCGGCCCGCCGCCGGTGTAGATGCCGGCCGGAACGTCGAGCTGGGCAGCTTCTGGGCTGGTGTGTGTGTCCAAGCTCCGCATCCAACCGATTGCACATTACTATTCCCACACACATACCGCGATTGAGCAGAAGCATTGTCCGCGAATTTGGTGGGCGGCGGTTTGTTTGTCCGACGGGCTGTAATACCGAATAGGTATTTACGTCTCACCGGCTGTCAGGGCTATTTTGAGTCAGAACACCTCTATTACGTATTTTATCAGGGATTAGGTACGTGGGATGCAGAAGTGTGGCCAGGACCCCATCGCAGGATAGAAAAGTCCAGAGATGGGCAACATAACCACCAACCAACATGCCACCATCGCCTCTTTGCGGCAGGTCCTTCACCCGTCTCGATTAACTCCAGACTGGTGTTGCTGGACCCTCAGATGTTATACTGA